TAACTGTATGAGGAACCCGGTATAGGAGTCAAATATTGCACCGAAGTGCTGAGGTCAAGCTTTGCTCACCTAATAATGCACCGTAGTGTTGAGGTCGGGTTTTACAAACCTTGTACACCATAGTATTTTGTACCGTGTCTTCACTAGACACTTTGAGGCCTGCACTATGTGCCTTCTCTAGACACTCTAGTGCTACCTAATATGCAACTGCTAGACTCTATGGCATGCCATTAATACCAGTGATCCTCAATAACATACTTAGGCATGTAGTCTATTTTTATTTGATCCATCCATGGCAAAATATATCAATATCGTTTAACATTGGGAAGTTCATACCCGAAATAATATTCATGGTAAAATATCACATTATTCATGATCAATGCATTATAATTTCACACTATGACATATCAATGTCATATCAAAGTTATAAAAATGACATAATATCATGTTGATATAAACAAGGTCGACTTATCGCAAGTCTTCCTGATGATATATAAAGCATCCATGTATAATGTCATGCATGTATTGCACTCACCTTGACACTTTATATCTTTCAAAATATGTGCCTCACTATTGTCCACAATAAACCCTTTTCTATTTAACTTGCTTCGATCACAAATCAATCACAATCTGTATAAATCACTAATTCATAACGATACATATGTTAGTATTGTACTAACATAAACATATCCCATAACAACTCCATAATATACTTCAAACTCATTTTCCACCAAATATTTTAACACCTATTAATTCTTTTAATTTTGGCACCAATTTTTTCAACTTATATGAAATGGTCCTTCAACATTTTACCACTTAAAATTTCAATACAAAAATTCCAGTATTGAAAGTATTATCAACCAAATACCCATACAAAGACATAATTACAATAAACACTCCCGACAATTCGAAATTTGCATTACAATCACCAAACTTTCTAAACTTCCCAAAATAATCAAATTTCACATATTAACACTCATTTTAATTCCCAAACAACAATTTCCAGCATAGTACATCAATTATATAACACTTACACAACAACCCATCTATTTTCCAAAATTTTCGAATTGATCCCAACTGTTCAAAAATTACAAAATGGTCCCCAAATTTTTCTAAGGCTCGTAGAATACTTCCTTCATCATTTCCAACCCTTATATAATTTTTTTCACTCAAACAATCCATGACCGAAACTTAAAGAACAAGTTTTAGAAAGATTAAACATGTTCTAATCATCATACATGCTTGAATATGAATCTACTACCTCACAAACATCAAGATTCATCATCAATTTCATGATCCCTTAAATGAACACAAACTGTAGAATTTGAGATCTTTGAACACCAACAAGATTATCATGCAATATTAGTACCAAATGATAGCGTTTTTCGCGTATAACAATTTCCATTTTACGGCATACTTAAAATCCAAATGAAATTGCTTAAAAATTGAATTGAAGCTTTCTCTTACCTTTGTAGAAAACCCACGACAGCTTGGAGAAGATGATGAGCAAGTTAGAATGAAATGTTGGGTGCATTTCATATTAGTTTACATTAAATTCCACTATAAATGAATAAAATATTCATTTAATTGAGATAAGACCAAATCACCCTTAATGAATCTTCCTATTCACCATAAAACCATGACACCTCATCCTTATCATCTATCAAAGTCAAAGATGAATTATTTTGACTTTGATTTATGAAATTTCCCCTGAATTTTTCAAAATTTGCGTTTTAGTCACTAAATTCCATTGTTTCGGTTAAATCTAAAAAATTGCACATTTCCAAACCAAATTTCTATGATATAAAATATTAAAATAATATTTCCAACTATTTTATAACATCCTTCAAATTTTTGTAAAATTCCAATTCGATCTGAATTTCAGATTCCTTACCGACATTAACCCTTTCTAATTTTTCTTTACTAATATTCCAAATCCATAAATATGATTTCTATAAAACCCCACTCTCAAGAGTAAACTATCTAATTTTTGGGGTATTACACCCCAACTTTTAAAACTTGCAACACAATCTATTCTCAAAATCTATCATAACAAACTGAACTTGAAGCAACAACCCTAAAACCTCAAAATATAACCCTAAATACTAAATTTCCCCACCAATTAACCCAACATAATCAACAACATTTAGTTCATTTTTGGGTCCATAATAATAAGTGATTATGTTGGGTTTAGGATTTAAAAGTTAGATTTAACCAACTATAAGTGAACAATACTCAATTCAATTCGAAAAACATTATTTTTTGACTTAAATTGATTCAAAAAATTTGATACAAATTGACTTTGAGTTGCAATTTCATAAACTCAACTTAAAAAATTCAAGTTAAAATCGAGTTGTAAAATACAACTTGAATATATCAAAATTTTTAGTAATTAGTGGATTATGTTTTAAGTTTGAGTCAAGTCCCTTTACTTTGTATGATATATGTATATCACATATGGAAAAAATATGAAGAAATATATGTTTTGTATATGGTTAAAAAACTATTTAAATTAGAATCAAATAATATTATAGTATTATAAATATTTATAATTAAATTTAAACAGAAACTCAAAAATTCAATTCAATTCGACTTGATTTAAATTTTATAAACTCAAATAAAAAACAATTCAAGTCAACTACTTTATAAACTGAACTGAATTAGAATTAAACAATATTATAATATGATAAATATTTATAATTATATTTAAATAGAAACTTGAAAATCCAATCCAATTCAATTCGACTTGATTTAAATTTTATAAAATGAAATAGAAAAAATTTCGAGTCAACTATTTTATAAACAGAAGTTAGTATTTAGGTCCAACATAACCCTAAATCCTAAACCCAATATAATCACTTATTGATCACTTATAGTTCGTTAAATTTTTTCGAAATGATTATGTTTTAAGGGTTTAGGGTTGTTACTTCAAGTCTAGATTGTTATGGTAGGTTTTTGAGAATAGATTGTGAATTTGGGGTTGGGCATGTAATTGAAGTATTTTGGAATTTGAGGTTTAGAATGTAATTGAAGTTATTTAGATTTTGAGGTTTAAAATGTAATTGATGATTGTGTTGCAAGTTTTAAAAGTTGGGGGACCTAAATGCAAGTGTTTGAAAAGTTCAGTGACCATTTATATAATTTACCCTAACGAAAGTGAAACGGCCGTTATATTGGGGATCATATTACAAACGAACTAAATGTTTGATGATTGTATTGCAAATTTTAAAAGTTAAGGGACATATATGCAAACATCTGAAAAGTTCATTATCCATTTATATACTTTACCCTTGTTTTTATTATATGCTTTGGTTTTTGTGTGTTCTTTCATCTTCCGTATCAATGTGGGATATGTAATTTTATTAATAAAATATTGAAATTTAATTTATAATAAAATTATAAGAATATAATATTTTAATAATAATTTTGACATAAATATTAATATTGACTAAATTAATATAATATTTCAAAAAAAATAATTTATTATATTTGATATATGTAATATAATTTACATAACATCATTTAAATACTGTAAAATATTTTTTGAAAATTATTTTTTAATTTACATTTTATGCAAATCATTTTTTCAGGTAATTTATTTTACGTAAATCATCCGTAAAATTAATTACAATGTATCAAAGAATTAGTAAAAATTGGCTTACACAAAAACAATGTAAAATAATTTCTAGAAATTATTTTTTTTAAAAATATTATTCATTTTATGTAAAACAATTCATGTAAAAAATTTTTCATGAAATTTATTTTACGTAGAATAGTTTTCATAAAACTAATTATAATGTATAAAACAAGCCCTTAATATAGAGAGGGTAATGATAAAATAAAAGTCCTTGAACCTATGAAATTTAATTACAAGAATAAATATTTATTTAAATAATGATTTTAATTATTTATTAATAAAATATAAAAACTAAATTTTAAAAATAATATAAATTTAATAAATTGTGACATAATTAAAAATAATATAATAAAATATCTAAATTTAAAAAATATTTATATAAAAATCATCCTTAATCTAAAACATAATATTACCCCATTGTAAAAGTTATATCGTTAAACGACTTCTAATCTAACATATTCGTCACTATTATTCTTATTACTATTAGTAAAAAAGAATATTATACTTCTTAAATATTTAAATTTGAATAATATATATATATATATATATATATATATATATATATATATATATATATATATATATATATATATATATATATATATATATTTGTAAATGATGAAATTTGGTGTTACAATTCAAACGAAAATGTTCAATTAGAACTTTATAGATTAACTAATAAGAAAACCCTTGAACTTGTATTCTAATAAGCTTAACCCTTAACCTAAACAAGCCTGGAAAGCCAAATCTATTTCATCAGTCTAATTAATCATGGTAAGTTCAAACAAATAAATTAAGTTCGAGCAATTATATTTGTAGATGTATGTATGTTTATTGTTAATGATTACGAAAATTATAAAGGGTAAATTATACAATGATCCCTTGATTATAGAGTATTGCTTTGTTGAGTCCTTCATGATTATCTTCAAGTAATTATCGACGTAGGGTGTGAAGAGTAGAAGACTTATTTACTTCAAAATCACCTGGCAAAGACATCATTAACATGTTAAGAATGAAAGTAAAATGTTAAAGGGTAAAGTACATACATCACTTGACTATAGAGTATTATTTTATTGAGTCTTTTGACTATTAAAAGTTACAAAATGGTTCATATGAAGATGTTTTGTTAAGTCCCATGACTATTAGAAGTTATAAAATGGTCTCGACTAGAGAGTGATGTTTTGTTGAGTTTCTTAACTATTATAAGTTACCAAATAGTCTCTTGTTGAATAAGATATGATAAAATCCGATCCCAAAATCGTTTTTAAGTTGTATTTTGTGGATCGACTATCTATTTACATTATGTCGTCAAGCTAGTGCTTGAAATGTTATAAAGTCGAGCCAGTGCTTCAAAGTAACGACAATGCCAGTAAACATCATTAAAATATGATTTAATCATATCCCCGTTAGTATGTTATCTCCAACTTAGACCACCATCAATTTTTTAACAAAAAAAGATGAATTTGGAACACATGAATAATCGAGTGATCACTTTATAACTTTTAATAGTAGGAAGACTCAATAAAAATCACCCTATAATCCAGGGACCATTTTATATTTTTAATAATCGAGAGACATAACAAAGTTACACTCTATAATTGGGGACTATTTGTATAAATTACCCAATGCTAAAATGGGTTTCGAGTGTGTATAATTCGAAGTTCAATCCTCACATTCAAATGTTAGCAGGAATGTAAGATTACCGTGTTTGGTTAAAAAGATTATTGGAATGTATATTTGAACAAATCGTCCTTATATATTTTTTAATAAGTGGAAAATATTTATATTTTCTTTAAAAAAAATTAAATTCATAAAATTTATATAATTTTTTTAAAAATTGAAAAAAAGGTTTAATGAAAGGGAAAATTTTAACCCCGAACTTCATATAAAATTTTAATTAGAAATTTTTATAAATTTAAAATAGTTAAGGATAAATTTTTAACATCGTAGAATTTTTATTATTCAATGACAGAAGAAGAATATTTTTGACAGAAAAAAATTAAGGGCATTAGTCCAAAACGCTGGTAATCCAACAATACCTAAGGAAAGGGAGGTAATGACATCCCGGTAATATACCCCAAAAAATCACTATTGATAATCTTACATTACCGGAATGGGATTCTCGGGCTAACCAAACGGGGGAATGGGATTCCATTCCCATAGAAATCCCACATTCCCCATCCAAACACCCCCTTAGAATATTTCAAAAAAAATTACCCACAGATGATATTAACCAGTGCAACAAACACTTTCTTTCTTTTCTTAAAACTTTTAAATATTTAATACACCTTTTTCCTTCTGAATATTAGATCCTAACTCTATTCTTGAGTTGAATTCTCTGGTAAAGAGTCCTAATCGTTTCTTCTTTAGGATGTGTAGCGATAAGAGAGTTTGAGCGTGAGAGGAATGCAACAGATGATGATATAGTAGTGATAGACGACAACTATAACTATTTAGAAAACATTTAAAAAAAATTTAAGTTTTTTATTTGAGAAAGAGTGAAAGGTAAATTTTTAAAAGTTATGAGTCAATAATTCAAATGTTATCGTTTGAGTGATCAAAATATTAAACCCGAAAATAAGTGATCAAAATCAAACTTTGAAATGTAACTAACCCTATTTTAATAAAATATTTTTTAGGTATTATTCCCATCATATTACTACTTAAGTTTGTACAAATCAAACGAATTCAGTGATTAATAGATATTTATTAAGATTTTAGTTGAACACTATAAATAAGGATATGATGATTAAACATATATTTTTGTTATTAATCTAAATTTTATATATATATATAAACCAAAGTTACCGTTTCTCAAGGCTGTTTCTCTGGGTTATAAATACAAAAGAAAAGGACCGAGTGGACAAAAGTAAAAAACCGAGTCCTCAGCCACGGAAATCTGCAAAGCAAAACCCTTTTGAGTGGTGATGGAGATAGACAGACCCACACTGCGACTCACCAACATCCCCCAACAGCCGTTGCCAAAGACCTCTTAGACCTGTTCGAATCCACGCTTGGCCCCGACACCGTCTTCGCCGTCGAAATATCCACCGACCGCAACAACTGGAAGTCCCGTGGTTTCGGCAGAGTCCAGTTCGCCACTCTCGAAGCCAAGTCCCAAGCCCTCCTTCTCTCCCACCGTGATCGCCTCGTCTTCAAGTCCCATTCCCTTAAACTCTCTCGAACCTATGACGACATCATCCCCAGGCTGATCAGGGCCGACTACAGGCTTGATGACGACCTTCTTCATGTGGGTTTTATGACTAACGACGATTGCTCGTGTTTTGGAGCGATGGGAGAGTGTGAGAGGTTGGATCATGTCTGAGAGGAGGAGACTGGAATTTTGGATTTGGACCGATGCAGATTGTTACAAGCTTGATGTTTTGTTCGATGATATTTTCGAGATTGTTGGGTGCGGCTTCAATGGCTCCGCATGCAATGCTCTTCTCTTGAGGGTATGCTTTTTCGTCATCGATTAACTGTTTTACTCTATTGAATCGTTGGACTTGAACATTTGCTTGTCAAGTATCCAATTTTGAGCTTATTCATGTGTGGTATCGTCATAGTACTAAATTCCGGTCGCGTATGTGTCGATGTTGTGGACGTTAAGTGGTTTGTTTTCTAAAAGTAACTATGTTTCTAAATTGTGGATGCGGTGGTGACCTTGAAAAGCGTTACAATGCGGCCGTTACCATTACACTGCATACGGCTGCAATTAGTACTATGACTATCGTTATTTTAGTCGAGAATTGAAGCAACGGACCTTTAAGGGAATTGACGATTATTTTGCATTTAGGTCTCACCCTTTTAGTTTCTCTCAAAGTGTAGCATTCTATACTAGTCGTGAGCATTAAGGTCTGTAGTTATACATTTGGGAATAGACTATGGAAGAACCCTCAATGATGATATCCTGAATTTTTCTATAATATAAAGCTTTATTGATCTTGTTAAATAATAGCACATATTATGTGTTCTCTCCATTTTTATGTTTAGTTCTCATCCAAAACACGTGTGCATTGTTGTAGTTCCGGAGGAAGAAATGTTGTGATGCACGTTCTAGAGCTAAGTTAAACTAAAATATGTTTCAAGTGGTACAACTGTTGACAGTTTAATGATCTTGATAATGTCCCTTTTCCTTGCAATAAAAATAGTATTTATAGACGTATCGTTGAGGTTTTCATCATGGAGTTATTTGATTTAGTAATTGCATGCAAGGAATTGTCCCATATGATGAGATGTAATATATTGCCCGGGTACATATGTGGGAAACTATTAACTGTATTAATAGCGTGGAAACTATTAATTGTATTAATCATGTTAAACTATTAATTGTTTCCAGGTTAGGTATGCTCCAAGGATATATCGGAAAGTATCTGGGCCAAACGTGGATTCAAAATTCAGAACTGATCGTTATCATATATGCAAGGAGGATTTTGACTTTCTTTGGGTTCACACAACAGATTTTTCAAGTATAAAATCAATTGGACAATCAACTTCGTTTTATTGGGAATTTAATGCAGGATTATCAGTCTCGGATTTGTCGACTTATTTCCCATGTTATAGAGAAGACATTAAATGTCCATCTTTAGAGACTGGGGAAGAATTCTCTTTGCCACCTGAAATTGTTCCGCTTGTAAAGTGCCCATCAGATTCCAAGTTAGCATATGAGATCATTTTTCAGCTCAACTCCCTTGTTCATACCCAAAAAATCAGCATTACTTCAGTAGACGCTGATCTGATTGGTATCCTCAGCGTTTTGCCAGTTGAATCTGCTGTAACGATTCTGCAGCAGCTTTGCAAGCTACAGTCCCCTTGTTATAAACCCGTGTCATTTGTGAAAGCAAAATTATCTACGGGAAGAAACTACCAAAGTCCTTTGTCTTTATCTGAAAGGTTAAAAAATCACAATGTTATGAGTTGTCATAGAGCCCTAGTTACACCTACAAAGATTTATTGCTTGGGTCCTGAGCTTGAAGCAGCTAATTATGTTGTAAAGAACTTTGCAGAGTATGCTTCAGATTTTATGAGAGTCACTTTTGCTGAAGAAGATTGGAGTAAGCTTTCTGCAAATGCCATTTCTACTGGCGTGCAGCTAGGTTTTTTTGCGAGACCATTCAGAACTAAAATATATGATAGGATATTGTCTGTTCTTCAGAATGGAATTGTTATTGCAGATAAGCGATTTGAGTTTCTGGCATTTTCGGCTAGTCAGCTTCGATCAAATTCTGTTTGGATGTTTGCATCTAATGACAAGGTTAAAGCAGAAGATATTAGAGAATGGATGGGGTGCTTCAAAAAGATACGCAGCATATCTAAGTGTGCTTCAAGGATGGGCCAGTTGTTTAGTTCATCTAAACCAACTCTTGTTGTCCCTGAGCAGGATGTGGAGATTATTGATGATATTGCAGTTAACACTGATGGCATTGATTGTTGCTTCTCTGATGGTATCGGGAAAATATCTGTCTTTTGCCAGACAAGTTGTCGAGAAGTGTGGATTGGATCACATTCCATCAGCATTCAAATAAGATATGGCGGATACAAAGGTATTGTTGCTGTTGACCGCAACTCCTTTTGGAAGATGTCTCTGCGTAATAGTATGCTGAAGTTTGAATCTAATGTCAGGATGCTTAACGTCACCAAATGAAGTGAGTCCATGCCTTGCTTCTTGAATCGAGAAATTGTTACACTCTTGTCCACCTTGGGCATCAAGGATGAAGTTTTTGAGAGAATGCAACAAGAACAATTGTGTCTGCTGGGTAAAATGCTGACAAATAGAGAAGCAGCTTCGTATGCATTACAAAGTTTAAGTGAAGTTAATTCCAAGAACATTCTGGTCGAAATGCTTCAAGTTTATGAGCCAAATGTCCAACCTTACCTCTCAATGATGCTTCAAGCACATTATGAGAGTCTTCTTTCTGATTTGAAAAGCAGGTGTCGTATATTTGTTCCAAAGGGACGAATCTTAATTGGATGTTTGGACGAAACTGGTACTCTGAATTATGGTCAAGTTTATCTGTGTAAAAATGAGAAAAGCAGAACTAGAATGTGCAGACCAAAGTTGCTTCCGTATGGTGGATGAGGAAACGGCTGTAGTGGTGGGGAAGGTGGTTGTCACGAAAAATCCTTTTCTTCACCCGGGGGATGTCAGAGTCCTTGAGGCTATTTATGAACCCCAACTAGAAGAGAAGGGATTGGTCAACTGCCTTGTCTTTCCCCAGAAAGGAGAAAGGTATTATTGGTTCACAGTTTAAGTTAACTCTTGGTTCCGTATTCTTCGTGGAAAAATCAACATTCTCTCCTATATGAAACAGTTGCTGCCTCATGTTTGTTCCTGTCATTTTCTCATCTTGTGGCAGCTTATGAGATTTTGTGTTAGTTGATTATGCAATTATAATGTTGTGTCTGATGCCACTTATGGTGATAAAAGGCTTTTGCCGTTATTTGATATCATATCTTAAATAGTTGGTGTGGCTAACACCTACAGTTGAATCTTGCAGGCCGCATCCGAATGAATGCTCAGGCGGAGATCTTGATGGGGATCAGTTTTTCATAAGCTGGGACAAAGACCTCATCCCATGTCAAACCGATCCCCCAATGGACTACACGGGACAAAGACCTCGAATAATGGACTATGAGGTAACCTTGAAGGTAATTTGAACCTGACCTGAATTTCTCATGCGATGGAACTAGAAAAGATTTGCATTTAGTTATATTTTATTTTCATCTTCATCCTTTTCTAAAACTTGCAGGAAATTCAAAAGTTCTTCGTTGATTACATGATCAATGATACTTTGGGTGCCATTTCTACTGCACATTTAGTGCATGCTGATCGAGAACCTGACAAAGCCCGCAGTGAAAACTGTCTAGCATTGGCTACTCTTCACTCCATGGCTGTTGATTTTGCCAAGACAGGAGCACCTGCTGAGATGCCTCGTGCTCTTAAACCAAGGGAGTTTCCGGACTTCATGCAGAGGGAAAACAAACCCATGTATACTTCCTCTGGTGTACTAGGAAAACTGTACCGTGGTACGATCAACTCAACTGTGCAAGCAAGGTCAAAGTTTTTCTGGACAAAGGAGATGGCTGAAGTAGCGTACGATCATGAGCTTGAAGTGAATGGTTTTGAGTTGTTCCTATCAGTTGCAAGGACTCGTAAAGAAAAGTATGAAGAGAGAATGAGTTTATTGATGAGCTATTATGAGGTAGAGTATTAGGATGAGATCCTGACAGGTAACGTGCACAACAAAGCACAGTTTTTGCAGCGAGATAACAGGCGATACGGAGAAATGAAGGAACGAATTGTGCTCTCTGCCAAGGACCTGCAGAGAGAAGCTAAACAATGGTTTAAGAATAGTTGCTGCAAGGCTGATGAGCATCAGAAACTTGCCTCAGCATGGTATCACGTGGCTTACCACCCAAATTACTTCCAGGAAAGGACGAACTCCTTGAGCTTTCCATGGATTGTCGGAGACATTCTGCTGAGGATAAAATCTCGGAATAGGTTTCTGAATAGCCGAGAAATTCAGAGAAACCGGCCTGAATTCGCTAATGTGTATGTAAAGTCCCCAAGAAGGCCTACTGCATCAGGTGATGAATCCTCAGAGGCTTGATCAATGACCAAATCCAATACTCCTGTGAATGTAAACTGCTGTCTCACCAATTTGTAGGTGTTTTAACTATTCTCTACCAGTGATAGATTTACCACCCCTTTTCTTCTGTTAGCATTCTGACTAGATGAGACATAAAGGCAAATTACCATCTAGCCCCTGCAGTTTTTATTTACAACCATCGACTCTCACTAAAATTTGGTAGTATCTTGAATGATCTCTTTTCTGAATCACAACCTTTAGTCCACTGGTCATGTAAGCCGGCAAGAGTGGGACAAAGACTGGTTTTTCCGAAACAACCGGTTTGGTTTCGAACTGCTGGAAGTATGGAAGCCACCACATAGTTCATCTGAATGAATGCAATCTTTTTCCCAAGGATCTGCCTGGAAGACCGGAAACTTGTATGGACAAACTTTCCTTGGTGATCCTCCATGGTAGCTTGCAGGTTTAATAAACCACGGCTCGGTCTGAATTCCATAGGGAGAATATGTTACCCTATCTCCAGCACGTACCAGAGTGCCATCGGGCAATAAGTCATCAGCCAACGCTACTGGTGGATAATGCCTCGTTGATTCACAAAGAGATGCTTTCAATTATTGAAGTCCCTTCAGTGATTCGTAATCTAACAAGCTTTTCTCCATATTGTTTGTCTCTTTCGTAAGCTCCTTGTTTTATAAATGGATGGCAGGAAAGCAACCAGAGGAGCCATGTCATTACAGCCGAAGTTGTATCCCTTACTGCCATGATGAAGCTTATGGACATACCTCTCACCACTTCCTCCTCGTTACCAGCAATTATCAACCTCGGTAAGAGATCTTCTTCACCGAGATTCTCTGTTTTCGTCGGTCTCTCTTCTTGTCATGAATGATTCCCTCAATGAATGCGCGAACTTCCTCCACTGCATCCTTGAGCTGTTTCTGTGATCCGACCCGGACGCATTTCTTAACCTTCCAAACCAAGAACAAAGGAGCAGCACCACGCCTGTATGATATCTCTGACGCTGTGTCGAAAGCCTTGTTGCGAGGTGAAACAGGATGAGAAGGATCCAAACAACATCGATCCACCCCTAAGGAGACATTGTAGATCAGATTCCTTATAATTTCAACCAGATTCTAAATTAATGCCCACATATGTATGTTTTCACTATTACCTTTTTACCATTTTCATTATTTCTTTTATTTTCTTATAAAATTTTAAAGAAATATATTTTAATTAGTTTTATGATTTATGCTATAATTAATACATTTTTTATATCAAAATAATGTTCAATGTATGCATATTTAAGCTAAAACACAATATTACCAACCACATTAGAAATATCAGGTGACAATGATTGTCACATCTAACCCACAATGTGAAATCACATTCCAAAATTACATAAGAAGAATCCATCAAAACAGCATTGTTAGTATTACAATCTCACAGAATTCATGAAGAAAACAGAGTAAGCAAGGTATTTCGGCATGGTAGTCAAGTTCATTACATATTCGAGTGGCCTACGCTAAATTCAACTCGGTGCCAACGAAGTGTTCAGAATACCTCTTAGATTCCAAATATCCTGCACGTTTTCAGGTTGGACATTTGCAGCTGAATACACCTGCGAATCGACAAAAAGAAATGCTTTGCAACTGTAAAACAGCTACCGATACAATGGATAGTAGGAACCGAACAGGACTCTGTCGCGCTGTAAGTAAGTTCCTAGGGTTCTTATATCAAACAAGTTCCATGAACATATGATGGAACTTCAGAGACTAGAGATTATTGTATTAAATAAGGGCAATGAATATGTTGTTGCATAATTTCTCTCGGAATGACTTCCAGAGACGCCCTTGCAAAATGGCGACTTTCGATCACACATTTACAAGAACCACGAATAGAAAATATAACTGATGATCGAATATTAGCCGGTGCACTCTGCATTCTAACATGGTAAAATGAAACAACGTACCGCTTTGGCGACGACCTGAGTACCGCGTGGGATATCAACTGTGATCTCAAAAAACACCCATGCCCATTTGTCACTACTTTCGTGATCTGATCTGTAAGGGATCCTGATTTTATGAAATCTTGAGGCTTCTAACCAGGTTTTGCCACCATCAATAGACACATCTACTCTCTCGATTCCTCGGCCCCCTCCAGACGCTGCATATCCACTAATTGTTTCTGCATAACATTTGACAGCTTACAATACAAGTAACTTCGAGTAGCATTCGAATCGCAGGGGAACCACGGTTAACAACGTTTAACATAACAGTAGAGGAAAGGGGTCATTGATTGAGACTAAACTTGCACGAGGTCAACTTTGAAGATAAAAAACAAAGAGTACATTTGTGTCGATTGGCCCGGATTTAGAACAAGGGAAAAGCTTTCTCCTAGCAGATACATGTGAATCAAAATAGCCAAAGTCTCTCACAAGCAGGCAAAACTTCGATATAACAAGATTACTTTATATACCATCGGCAGATTCATATGATCTCTGCGTCTATTTAATACTAAATAATCGACCATTTCAGTAAATACATAAATGGTCACACCAACCTTTTAAATCCAGTTGCGGAGTTCAAAAAACCCTACTGCTGGTGTATTCGAGTCGGACAATTATCTCAAGTATAAACAAGAACCTTTGTAAAAGTGGGAATAGTTCTAAAGTCAAGCAAGCCAAGTGAAACATGACTGAAATAAAGGCTAGTCAATCCATAATGGAAGGACTATAATCATGTTTACATACTAACACCTATATAAACTGGTGATTGCAAAGAGAACAAACCTTTCCAGGTTTAATCGACTGCACTTCTTCTAAAGAACAAATCACAGACTGTCAACCAGCAACGAAACTAATATTAGTCAGGACATTCGAGCAAATTGAGTTTGTAAAAGAAAATTTATGGCTACAATATTAAAAATAAGCTTGACAGCTAGATAGGTCCTTATCCTTTGATTTTTACATAAGAAAGCCCTTATTTGTAAGTGGAAGGTTGATTTATTTTGAGGGTTCTTTGAGGTACAAATTAAAGGTTAGGGGCTTATTTTTTTTGATAGAAGTTGGAGGTCTCATTAAAAACTCCCTTCGTATTCTTCCACATACTTAGGAGTATGTTGAAGAACATTGAAGGGAGAAAAAGTACCTCAATTTTATTAAATAGTAAACCAAGTACAATTGGTAAGACCGATCCCTCATACGGGAATATATGCCATTACAAACCAAAAACCTAGAAATCTTATCTTCAAACAAACGACCTAAGACAAACCTATCTCTAAAAAACACCTCAAGATATAAGAAACATAGCCAAATAAAAATCAACAATTACAACCCCAAACTAGAAAACACCTCTGAATACTGCTGCCGAAACATCACAATCCAATAGGAGGAATAAGATCAAATGAAATATCGCAATCTTCAGGGACCCAAGAATTAGGTTTGAAGGAAGGATCAACTTCATGCACCAAGACATTGAATGAATTATCACCGACCTTCAACTCCAACACTCATCAATTCTCCCTTTATCATTTGTGAGTATTTGAATTTTTAGCCCTATCAAAGGACGATGGAAACTCACAACTGTTGTCAATTGTATTAACTTGCCCCACTTAGTTGTGATGTTTTTGAAAGTATCCCAATTCCAGCGTGAAAAGGGATACCTTCGCAAACCAACACCCCACGCGCCTGCACTCCACCAATAGGCTCTCTGACCAAGTTTCCACTCTGGAAAACCATTCTGCAGCATCTCTAACTTATCATCCTTCACGCTTCTCATCGAATCAGAGTCTTTAAAAACCATGAGAATTACATTACCAGCAGCTCTCATCAGCGCGAAACCAGCTAATCCTTTTGCTTGTATTTGGTTAGCAAGATACCAATTTTAATAAAATTCTTGCACCATCCCACAAGACAATTGCTCAACACTTGTAGTTTATCATCGTCCACTACGCCCTCAACTTTAAAGAGTTTATTCCTCGGAGTACATCTCTCCTAGACTTACTATGAACAACTGTCAAGGCCTTCCTCCAGAAACTATCGGGGTTTATATTTAGCCAGAGAGACTCTAACTTTGCAACCGTAAATATAATTACCATTCATCTTAGATATCGCTATCCTGGTTTCTTCAATGTTTGCATAGCGAATAAACCCAAAACGAACCCCTTTCGATTTTCTTTTTTAGGAATGAAGGCATCAATAACTTGACCATGTGTGCCAAAAATAGACCCAAGTCTCTTCCAATGGATGTCTCTGGAAGGTTTTCGATAAAAATCGTGAACAACCATTTATGACCCATTTCCGATTCTTGGATGACCATCCTTCGACAAATTTTGGAACCCATTCTTCTCCTCCTCGAAACTTCGGGAAACTTTTAAAAGGAGAGGCCTTCATGTCGCTCTCCTTGGTTCCGTCTTCAATATCAACGATAGGAAGAGCTGGAGATACCCGAACTAAAGAATTCTTTCCTGCCTTTTGTCTCCTCTAAGAGAAGAAGATAATCCGATGTCATATTTGCATCAGACTTTTCAACACAACCCCCAGAAATATCAGGCACATGAAAACTTGGAAACGCTACTGGAGCTGAATTCGACACTGGCAAAACAGGAGGAACAGGATAATATTCTCTACCTATTCCTCTTTTAACAACCAGATTCTTCTTTGCCATCTCAATATGCAAAAAAGACTTCAACTTGATATCGAAAACCATCTCCTGAAGGGCAACCTTGGCAGCAACTGCAATTTGACATTAGAGAAAAGAGCAAAAGCCTTAGCTTTTCACCCTTATACTTGCGAGACTTCAAAACCAGGGAGCCATCTCAACAAATTTTGCAGCTCTCTCTTTGAATCTTCAGGCAGACGAAATGAAGATAGTACGAACCTTGTCTTGATGAGAATGATGAGATATTGAGAAGACAATGCTGCGGATGGTGGAGGAGCATGGACCGATGGGTCTGTTGGTGACAAGGATCGATTCCAACACCCTCCATAATGAAAACCCAGTGACCTGACAAGAAATCCGGCGCTAGTCCGGCGAAAATATGCTGTGACTTCAACGAAACCGTAGAATAAAACAGATCGTGAAATATGTGATGCCGATGAAGAAGAGAAGGACGGAAATGATGAAGAGAGTCCGACTGTCGGATCTTAGCCGGTCAAAAAGGCAGAGAAACGGAGAAAGGCAGCGACTAGGATAGATGGGAATCGCGATTGTACGAGCCCGGTGATATGACGTGTGACCTATGCGGCCGGAGGCGAAGTCTGTGAAGGACGGCGTTTAGATCTGCGCCGAATGGATTATTTTCTCGTAAATCTAATCTCAAAAATGAAATCAGAGTGAGGAACGATCTTTCTGGGTAAAAATGGCGGCGAACGGATGACGGAATGTGGCGGCGGAGGCGGAAGTCGGACTGTAGACGGCAGACGTTGTACAGTAGACGGCGAACGCAATGTATAAAGATGGCGGGCGGTGATGGTTGAGATGAGATGAAATGATGGATGAAAAAAACAAAAAGCACCTTGAACCAAGGAGCTTCTCTCACTAGGTTTGAATTTTGAAAAAATGCTATTTTAGGGGCTTATTTGGGTATAAGTTTAAGGTCGAGGGCTTGTTAGAATACAAGTTAAAAGGGTTAAGGTCTTATTGAAGTGTATTAAAAAGGTATAAGGGTTTATTTAAATGAAGTGGTAAAGTTAAGGGCTTTTTTATTTTATTTTTGATAGGAATAATAGGCCTCATTAAAAACCTCCTCCTTGATTAACGGAGCCTGATAATCAGCTCCTTAATCTGCAGAGGGAGGAAGAGTGCCTTAAAACTTTTATTACTCATACGAACTTACATAATGTTTAACAAAAACTCCAATCTGAAAAACACAACATACTTAACCACTCAAGTAACAACCAAAAACCAAAAAACTCAAACAATAAAACCCACTAATAATGCCTAACAATCAACCAATTCCCATCTTTGCTAAACTATCAGCCTCCCCATTACACGTCCTTGGAATCCATCTAACTGAGTGCACCCTATCCGAGATGAGTGATGAAATCTCCTTAACTAAAGGTAAGATAAAAACAGGGGCCAAAGTTGGGGTCAATATCCATTCCACAGCCGACTTACAGTCACTTTCCACAATCAACCTTCTAACAGTAACCCAACAAAAAGACATATAGATTTCAATTCCTCTCTTAATAGCCTTTAACTCAGCAACCTGGGGGGGACCTTGACCTATATTTTCTGAAAAATTCAGAAGAGAGTTGCTGTTCCAGTCTCTCAAAATACCTCTTATACCTCCATTTTTGCCATCAAGTCTAACAGCTCCATCAACATTCATCTTCAAAAAATCAACAGGGGGTGGGACCCAGCGAATCACCTGAACATTCTTAGGATTAAGAGCCTTAATACCGTCTGCAAGAGATGGATCACCAATCAGTACATCCTCCTGAATAGGAAACTTAGGGTACTTGGCTAGAAACCATTTAGATAACTTGAATCTAGCAATAAAAAACAGAGACATCCTATCAAGGGGAGAACCTTCGAACACCATTGCGTTCCTAGCTTTCCAAATCGACCAAAATACTACTCCAGGAATAAATTTCCAAATCAACGATTTCCCCCCTCAGTTCACCCCTAGAGCTGAGCAAAGAAGGTGGGTCCTTTGGAAGTACCAAAGCTATATCCCAAAAGCTTACTAGCTTATACCATAGTTCCCAAACTACAACACACGAAATAAATAAATGTTGCACTGATTCCACTTGTTCCTTACAAAACGGACAAATAATTTCATCCCCTAGCTGCATTCCTCTTTTCACCAATTCTTCTCTCACTGCCACTTTCTGATGAGCTAGTTGCCACAGGAAAGCTTCAACACGAGGAGGAGATAATCCCTGCCACACCCCTTTTAACCACATATCAGAACCCCCCGACACCTTCCCGAGTACATTTCTGCAAGATTTTACTGAAAACATTCCATCTCCACTTGCAGACCAGGAAAGAAAGTCTTCTACTGATTCTGTCAGTTTAAAGTCATTCAGTTTTGTCATCAATTCCAGCCACTGCTCCAATTCCCAGTCACACAAATTCCTTCTGGTTTCGACGTTCCACACCCAACCATTCGAATCAAAACAGCCAAACTCAGCAACCTTACCCCATCTGTTTGTAGACAGCACATACATTCTAGGGAAAAGATTTTTTAAAGGAAACTCATCAGCCCATGTATCTGTCCAAAATGAAATAGACTTTCCATTCCCCACTTTCAACTTAGAGTGTAATCTGATACATTCACCCTCCGAGTCATTCTTCAAGAAATTGTTAGCAATACCTCTCATAATCCAAGAAGATTTGGTCGTAAACACCTTGCTAATAAACATGGAATTACAACTAACCTTGTGTCTGCAACATAACACACTTTTCCACAAAGTATTATTTTCATTGGCAAACTTCCACACCCATTTTCCCAAAAGAGCCCGATTAGAAAGATTCACATCAAGAACACCAAGACCACCATAATTCATAGGCTTGCAAACTGATTTCCAATTAACCCAGTGTATCCTCCTTTTTTCCTCATTACCCCCATAGAAATCTGGCCATTAATGAATTGAGCTTCTTACCAATAATATTGGTAAGGAAGTTAGCACCGACTTCAATAAAACTGTCCTGCCAGCCAAAGAGAGACAAGAAGCTTTCCAGCCGGCAAGTTTGGAGCTAAAATTCTTGAAAACTGGATCCCATAGAGCTCTGAGTTTTTCTTAGCACGAGAGGAAGTCCCAAGTAATCTGTTGGAAAAACCCACTGAACAGCCCACTGCTAATGCCCACTCTGTTAAAACTTCCTCTTCCACATTAATACCAAACAACTTTCTCTTAGCTAGATTTAGATGCAACCCTGTCATAATACTAAAAATCCTCAACACTCTCTTGACATTTTTAATCTGGGAGAGAAAAGCTTGACAGAAAATGATCAAGTCATCGGCAAATTAGAGATGTGACAACCGAACAGAGTTTTCAGATTTCCCAATAACAAAGCCTTGAAACAGATCCCTGTCTACTGCTTTAGTTATCATCAAATGAAGTAGCTCACCTACAATGTTAAACAGTAACGGAGATAAACTGCACCCTTGCCTAAGTCCTTTGGTCATAGGAAACTCTTCCGAGGGAGACCCATTTACAAGAATCGAGATTGAAGCTGTTGATATACACCTGAGATATCCACGACAACCATCTCTTGCCAAAACCCATCTCTGACATTACTCTGAATAAAATTGGCCATTCCACAGAATCATAAGCTCTACGAAAATCTACTTTGAAGACAACCCCTTGTAACCCTTGTTTTCTCTAGTAATCAATCCCTTCATTTGCTATAAAAGCACAATCCAACAGTTGTCTCCCCGGTATAAAAGCAAACTGAGATTGACTAATAATATCACCAACACAACAACTCATTCTCTTCGATAAAACTTTAGAGATGATTTTGTATAAACTGCCTACAAGGCTGATTGGTCTAAACTCCTCTACACTGTCCGGATTTAGCTTCTTCGGAATAAGTGTGATAAAAGCATGATTTACACCATGCTCCCATTTCCTTCCAAAATAGAAATCTTCAAAAAAAATTCAACACATGTTCCTTTAAGCTTGACCAACATTTTTTAAAGAAACCCATTGTGAAACCATCTGGTCCTGGAGCTTTAGAGTTGTCTGATGAAGCTATAGCCTGCCAAATTTCCTGTTCTAAGAATTGCTCTTCAAGTTTGTTAGACTGTTCCCCTGACAGCTTAGCAAATTCCAGAACTAAGTCCTCCACTTCCATTGTTGAATTGGAGTTGTAGGCTGCCTTAAAAAATTCTGAAATATGTAACTTTAACTGTTGAGGATCTGAAACCACATTCCCATTTATCTTCAAGCTTAAAATTTCATTTCTTTTGCTTCTGTTCAGTGCAGACAGATGGAAAAACCTTGTGTTTCTATCCCCGTCTTTAATCCATCTAGTCCTTGACTTCTGAAACCAAATGCTTTCTTCGATTCTATACAACCTCCAGAGATTAGTTCTACACTCCCTTAATTGATCCCACTCTTGCTTCGAGAGAATTCCACCTTGAGCTTTACAATCCAATTCATTAATACACCTTTCTAAATCATAAATCGACTCAGAAATCCCAAAAAATTTAGTGCTAGACCATTTTCTGATTGATGTTTTTGTTCCTTGTAAGATGTTGAAGATTCCCCTTCTGTTATTTCTCCCCCTCATAACAACCATGGAAGATTTAACCAATTCCTCAAATCCTTCCTCCTCTAATAGATAATTAAAAAATCTGAATGGTTTAGGACCCTAATTAACGACTTTATCCTCTAGTGAAACTGGATTATGGTCAGATAAGGATCTAGGCAAAAGTCTTTGCACTACATTCGGAAAACAAGTCAGAAACCTCCCAGAGATTAAGAACTTGTCGAGTCTTTCCCACGTAGAGTCTTCTCTATTATTACACCAAGTATACTTTCCTCCCACCATAGGGAGATCAATTAAGTTTGATTGCTGTAAGAAGTTTCTAAATAAATCAATAGAATGCCAGTTTTGGGACTTGCCCAACTTCTCATCCGGATCGAGATACACATTAAAATCTCCCCCGATACACACTAACAAATTTTGAGCAGACACAAACTCCAACAGTTCCCTGAAAAAATCTTTCTTTTCTGCTTCAATTGATGGTCCATAAACATTTATAATCACACACTCTTCACTTGAATTTCTGAACTTCCCAAATACTGCTATGAATCTGCCATTTAAGAGGCTGTTCGAGACTACAAAATCATTTTCATTCCGCATAATCATTAATCCACCTGCAGATCCCACTACTGGAACAACAATACCTCCTTTAAGAAAACTCCCCCTATCCTTCTTCTTAAAGCCAAAGAAACACTTTCTAGTTTGGTTTCTTGAATTAGAAGAAAGTTCGGCTTATTCCTCTTCACCAAATTAGCTACAACTCTTGATTTTTCCTTTTTTCCAAAACCCCTTACATTCCATGAAATTATGTTGACATTTATCATAAAGAAAAATTCAACACCAAAACCTTTAAGCTAGTCAACAGAAGAATACTAATCTCCTGAATTCTCCCGTTCCTTACTTTCGGCCAATCCCTCCTCAAAATTTATAATTTTGTCTAGAAAAGCCTTCTTCCCCTCTTTAAAAGATATCCCCAGTATTTTGCTGACTTCCTATGTAGCCAAAGACTCCTCCAAGAACAACGAGAATGTTGAAGAATAAACAGTAGGGAAACTAACCACATCCAAAGCTTCTCTGATCAAAAGCCTTCTCCTACTTCTACTCACTCTCCCTGGCATAGAACCATGTATATATCTAGTAGAGAACTCTTCTACATTCCCTGAATGTTGAGCAATACCCACTTCTGAAATCTGAGGAACACCAAATTCCTCATTAATGGAATTGACCCCTTCCACTAAGGAATTTAGATATGATTGTCTGCTCAAACTAGGGATTAGAATATTCCTATTTTGAACAACCAACTCCCTTATTTTAAGTCCCTCATCTTTTCTGCTCGGATTATGCAACACCTTTCTTACCCTAGATCTTCTATATACTCTAGATACAGATCCTCTTTTCCACCTTCCTACTGGGACGTTCCTACCACACAAACTTCCAGACAAGAGGTTCAGAGGACTCCAACTCCTTAAACCATTTGTGACAGACTCCTGATTGGCTCCCAACACCTGAATTCCAACCTTTTGGACTGGTACGAGTTCCCTTTCCACCTCTGTTTCCTCTATACTTCTAACTTCTTTGTCCAGTTCAGCTTCTTCCTCTATCCCTTCAGAATTATTATTTTTAGAAAGCCCTCTACAATGTGACTGAATTCTGACATTTGATTCTCCAGTATTCCTTTTTAAAATAGAGTCAAGCTTAGCAGGAACCAAAATCTGCAAGTTTGATTTCTCCAAATCAGTCTGCTGAAGATCACTTGGAATGTCCACCCGAGGATCTATCTGTTTACCATAGCCCAATTCTATTAAGTTCATAGCTGGCCCAGTTGGAGAGAGTCTTGTATTAATTGGGGTGGGCTCACTAAAGTCTTCTGACTATGCTTTTTCACTACTATAACATATATTATTCCTCAACCCGAGGCCCAGATATTCCCCTCTTAAATTCAAATTTTCCTCTAGTAGTTCTGACACCCTTTCTCCACTGGGTTGACCTTCATCTACCTGCCCCATTAAATGTTGATCCTCACAACCACCAGCCGCAACATTACATACATCCCCTTCCAACCACGTGTCGACTCTACCTGTAGTATCCTCAGCTAATATGTCTGACCTACCAACCCCTCCTGAGTACCGATCATCTTCCTCCTCTGATGCTGCAACTTCCCTGTACGCTCCGCCGCCGTCCACCGCTGAATTCACTGCTGAAAAACCATTCTGTTTCAAAAAAACTGAGCCCACATTAATTTTAACCAAATAAGATCTCCCATACGATCCAAGTGTAACTGTTTCCGGTATATCAAAAGGACTGGCCACCCTCAACAATGTCCTTGCAACCACCATAGCCTCTCTTCTAGCCGTCAAATCTTGAATACAAATCAGCTTCCCCCACCTTGAAACAAGTTTTTCCAGAAACAGGACATTCCAACATAATAACGGAACTCCAACTAATTCAACCAAGCAAAATGACATCGGTAAGCCTTCCTCATTCAGAAGCATATCAAGCCATTCAAACCAAAATGATAATATCTCCAATCTACTAGACCACGCCTCCTTTAATTCCTCCACTGAAGCAAAAGTTAAAATGCAAGAGTTTCTTGCATAACCCCATTTGGCTAACTTGACTTTGATCCCATCACTCGCCAGACCCTTCATCACTAGCTCCAAATCAAAGTGTGTTTTAATGATCCCTGTCAATGATCTTTTCACCCAATCCGATTCATCTGAGGGAATGTGCATCTCCCACAAGTTCCTCAGCCCCGATTTCTTCCTAGGAATCCCCATCCTATTTTCTTTGCTCACCTGATCTTCCCTCAGCCCAACATTGGAGACTAACGCATCCTTATATGATCTTTCATCTCTCAATCGATTAAAGGACTCATTATCAACTTTTCTTCTCCAATATCCTCCCTTATACAACGTATCTTCTTCCCGTATGAAATTTCTGTTGTCCACTTGGCGAGGTCTCTGCTTCTTATACTTAGCTACCCCAACATATATTTTCTTTCCATCAATCCAAATACCATTGACATTTTCCACCGCCTTCTTCAATCCTTCCTCCTTTGCAAACTGAACGAAAGCAAACGTATGATTACTATAGTTTGGTTTGCTAGAACTACTCGGGATGAAAACTCGCAGTACACGACCCTGTTGTTGAAAAATTTCCTTCACTGTTTTCCAAGAGACTCTTTTGCTCAGATTATCCACAAACACCGTCCAATCCTCACCGGAGGACTGAAAACCTAAGGTACTCTCTCTCTCTCCAATTTTCTCTCTGACACTCTCTCTCATCTTTTTTTTCCAACTAAGGGCTTTTTTATTAGTTTAGCCAAAACAATACTTATTTAAATATGAAAACAGCTTGTCTGGATCTTGACACATTGTTATACAGCTTACAAGGAAACCTAGGCTAAAAGATTGAAGTACACGTCCTTCAAGCAATTCACATGCAATTTACATATAGGACTAGACTAATTTAATCGAAAACTAGTAAAACCTGAATCGGGAAATCCATTTGTGGCCGCCTGGTAGACCAATAGATGATATCCCAATCCACGGATGGTGGAAACATCTTGTAATCCTTTTGCACGAAGAAGCTCTATGAGGTAGTAAAATGGAACTCAATCAGATAACAATGTGGAAAATGATAAATCAATTTAAACATAAAGATAAAGCCTCCCTTCAACCTGGCATTCTTCTGCTATTATGTTGATAGAATCGAGCCACTTGACAGAACGTGCACCTATAACACCGGGAACAATTACTCTCAACGGGTAACCGTGATCCCTGTTGAGAGGCTTCAGTATGAAAACAGAACAATTCTTCATGTCAGAGAAACCCAGTGGGACATCATGAGAAAAAGAATGTTCAATTGAACTAATATAAGTATCGATTTCATCAACTCGAGCATTGCAATGTCGATGATCATCAAGTCCAGGCAAAAGTATACCATAGGAAGCAAGTTTTTCTTACCTCTCCATTCATCTCGTAAGCAAGTAAAACATCTGCTTCAGGGTTAGTGGCTTGACTAAGTGGAATTGATGCCTTGTATGGGCCTCCATTCTCCTCCTACATTTATTTAAAACAAAACAGGCAAAATATGAGGTTATGTTCTCCTATTGAAAGAAAAAAAAGTCATCTAACAGCAGAAGCTTTGACGACGAAATTCAATAGACCAACTTACTACCCTACACTTATCAACGCTCACAAATTCGACGTGTTTTCCACCGGACTTGGTGCTATTTGTCAACTTTGGTATCCCGACAAGCTCAAGTACATCAGCCAGTTTGGCACCACCCCAGACAGCTGAAAGGTCAGAAATACGATATAGACTCGAATATAACATCACATCTATAATGACATTTGAGATGTGGTTATGTACACTAAATTTACAGAACAGTATGAACATATACATAGATTATGGGAGGGAAATCAATAGAAATCCTAAGGAAATAAGCATACTCTAGTTCATTCATAATTCTGTACACCGACGTGAAGAGTGCACATGCATACACGTGAAATATAAGTTCGGAAAACTAATTGCAAGTCGGAGATCGACAAAACAAACCATTCCCTATAGCAGAAACATCCCAGCCAACTCCACTCACTTTTTGGGTTTTGCTCATGGCAGTCCTCCTATTACCTGCACACTGAATAAAACATCAAAGCCAGATCAGTGAACAAATGCAACAATTGCAGTGCCACATAAATCAGCAGAAAATACGTTGAAGAAACTTACCCGTAAAATGGCAGTCACGTTGTATTTCGGCAGCATCCTGTTAGTCGTTAAAGAAAATTCTCAGTACATTGTTTGAAAAACAGACCAAGTTAACATATTGAAGAATAAAATAAGGGAAGAAACTAGAGAATAAACCGGATTCATGCAAGATGAAATTTCTAAAATGTACATTTATTTCTTGGATTGTAATCGGCAATGCTATCACTCACCTGATATCTCTCATATACAGCTTTTTTGGAGTTTGAATTAAGCCAGTTATATCGGTACAATATCTACATTTCCGAAACATGTATGAAACTCAGTAAGGATCCACATCAAGATAAATGGCATAAAAAATGTTCTAATATAAGCTAGCATGGAATAAGAGGACAGAGTATATAACCTCTCTATGTCATCAACTACTGGGATTGGTCCATGATTTCTCTTGTAGAACAAATCCACCGGAGTCACATAAGAGGAAACTAAAGCAGAACGCGGCGGCTCAGCGTTGAAGGGCTCCTAGATCAAAGATGCCAATACCAAGTGGATTACACAGTGAAACTGGAATCAATAAATACATATTCTACAACTAATTATTTGCAAATGGAAACTTAAAAAGGGTAAAAAGGCATATACTTTTGGGTTAAAGCAAGCATATTTAGATCAGGGACGAATGTATTATTTTATGTCAGGGATGACAAACGTAGGAATTTATATTAAAAATTTAGGGAATTTAGGAAATAGAACATCGACTGAAAATACAAAAAAGATATCTAAACTACATAGAAATTTGAAATTTCCAAGGGCACAACTGCATTTCCAACACCCCTCGATTTGGATCATGCCCAATTCAATTCAACAGACAAAGAAACATCTTGATTAGCAATTTGGATACCCATTTTTTCAAAAATGAAATCAAAGCTGGAACATTATATACCAACGAATCAGATGTATTTGGAACCCAAGAAGAAATATATATATATATATATATATATATATATATATATATATATATATATTCACATAACACATATGAAACCTCCTTTCTCTAGATAAAATTGACATAAAAACAAATGAAATCCAATAATCAGATGCAAAGCGAGTGATTAAACAACTAAAAGAACTTGCCTTGGAGTTGATTTGAAGACAAGGATGGCGTGGCGGTTGTGAATAATCAGAAGGTCCCTTTATTCCCGGCATTTTTCACAGCCTTCCCTTCTGCAATTCTATCAAGCTGAGCCGGCTATATGTAGAAACACTGTGTGTTGGCTTTTAGTTTAGTTGCCCCCAGAAAGAAGATGATTGGGTGATGAGGAGGCTACCATTACCAATGGAAGAGGCCAACCATCATATGCAAGTAGGACCCACTTGGACAATGAAGATAACCTTTGCTTTTTGATTAAAAAAACAGCATTTTATGGGTTTTTTTTTGGTTTTTCTGTGGCGTTTGATTCATGGTGTCTTCTTCATGGAATCCACAGAAAAAAGTTGATTCCCAAGTTTGGCAAGCTTGACAATGGAGTTGACAAATGCCACTGAGTTGTACTACTGAGCGTAAAGTGCTTTCTTATCTATGGGAAATATAACATTATTTAATTTAGACCTGAGTATATCATCCAATCAGAAAATTTTAAGTGGGTGAATTTAATAAGTTTTATTTTATAACTCAAATTTTTTTTAAATTTTAAATTTATAAAAATTGAATTGAGTATTATTTAAATTTTTATTTCAATTTAATTATATATATTTATAATATTATAATCAACATGATATATATATATAAATAAATAAAAAAAAGAGTGAAAGACCTAAATTTAAAAATTAAAAATCAATATACTAATTATTAAAAATTATCTATTTAATTTACTTGATTTTGGTTGATATAATTATAAAGAATTAATTACATCATATGTCCTCAAAGTATAGCATTCATTTTAAATTGGTCCCTAAATTTTTAAATATTTTAATTTCATCCTTAAACTATGATTATCATTCTAGATTAATCCTTAAACTTTTTAATATTTTATTTTCATCCCTAAACTATAAATTTCATTCTAAATTAATCCCTAAACTTTTTGAATATTTTAATTTCATCCCAAACTATATGCATATAGTAATCACATCCTTTGTAAATAAATAGTTAGGCCATGTTATATTACTATATGTTCAAAATAATAAAATTTAAGTCAAACTATGGTTTAGAATATTCAAAAGTTTGGGGATTAATATAGAATGAAATTCATAGTTTATGGATGAAATTAGAAATGTTCAAAAGTTTAAGGACTAATTAGAATGAGAGTCATAGTTTAGGGATAAGATTAGAATATTCCAAAGTCTAAGGACCAATTTAAAATGATGGTTATAGTTTGGAGACATATGATGCAAAAAAATCAATTATATATTTAACCCTAAGTGAAGGTTGAATTTTGTTGGATTGCTCTCCCAGTTCCAAGGCTTCGCCTTGATTAATTAGGATTAACTCGCGTCGCACACTTGACTTTGATGGGTGAGTCTCTAGCAGGAATTTTTTATATATACACAAGAACTCAAACTCGAGAACTTGCTTGAGCGATATTAAATTGTTTATCACTTGAATAAATCAATGTAAACCATAATATAAATTAGATTTGTTAAAATTAAAATTAAATTAACATAATATATAAATATGAAAAATAAATTTATTATTAAATTAATCAAAATTACATAAAATAAATAGAAAAAGTAAACACTATAAATCATAATTTATTATTCTTATAGTTTAGTTTCGAAATGGAGTAGTACTTTCTTTTTTGAGGACTAAGTTATCCGATTTCAGAATATTAGGAACCTAAAAGATACTTTTACCAAACCATTAAAGAACAAATGGGAATCAAATGCGAACAAAACAACAGTTTATCTCATTCTTGATTGCTTTCTGATAGCTCTTCCCAATTCCACATAAAACTACAGAGCTCGATCCTCAAATGGCGGGAATGAAACTGTTCAGTTCCGAGTCAACTCACTCGCTTTCCTTTCGCCACTCTTTCGCAGTCGTACCGCCGCGCCTGGTGCGGTCTCCCGCCCGTGTCAGTCTCGATGATGCTAAACCCAGTAGGCTTCGAGTCTTAGCTATGGCCGCCAAAAGGAGTCCGAAGCGTCTCAAATACTCTGCTCCTCGATTGTCCAAGGTCCAGTTTCTTCTCAATTTGATAATATTTGTGCAAAGTTAAATGCCAAAGAAAATAAAGAAAATGAAATTGGCAAGTGGATGATTTGGTTTACGTGGAAGTTGATCCGTCAGGAACAGAAAACTGGAAACTTGAACCTGTAATTGAACTTTTAAACCAAGGAGCTGTTGGTGTTATTCCAACTGATACTGTGTAAGTGCTCTTCGATCATTATTGCTTTTTCATTTTTGTTTATGGAAGCGAAAATCATGTTTGGATGTAAAATTTTTTTTATTAAAACTTCAAATTTACATACTTTACTTTGACTGAATCAATTGCTATATTTGAATGTGTTACAGTTAGTATTTGTAGGTATGATTATTTTTTCAACTTGAAGCAATTAGAAAAAAAATGAAAATTAAGGATCAAACTGAAACTTACAGCTTCTTTTGAATTTTCTTAATTTGAATTTGATGTTCATATCCAGGTATGCAATAGTTTGTCATTTGAAAAGCCATTCAGCCATCGAACGTCTTCGTAGGTAGGTTTCAGGTAGAAAATTTCCCTTTTTGTACTAATTTTTTAGGTTTAAACATTTGCCTAAATTCAATTTTTAGCTGATAAAAGCTGTTGTATGTTCTCTTATTGCAGAATAAAAAAATATCGAACCTTCCAAGGTAAATTTGAATACTTTATCAACATGATAGTAACTTTGAGTTATTCTCTATTGATTAATAGCTTTTGGGTGAAAGAGAAGTATCTATTTTTTCATGCATATAACTTTTGCTTTGTTATGTTGTTTTACTGCTTATGGCTTTTATGCAGCCACTTAGCATCTTATGTCGCTCTCTTCGAGACATTGACACCTATACAACAGGGTTCCCTCGTGGTGATGGCCAAGGTCATGCAAATATTTTTCGAGCTGTTAAGCAATGCTTGCCTGGGCCTGTAAGAATTCTCTTTGTCCTATTCTTAATTATGGTTAGCTGAAGGAACCTTAAGTACACTTCTGTGGCATTACAGAGCTAGAATAGAAGAAGTGATTTGTTATTTGTTGTTAACACAAGGGGTAATAAATGAAAACATCGTAGTGGAATTTCGACCAGAAACTTTAATGACTGTATGAGCTTTTTGGCTAAATCCGTTTACCTTGCATGTCTGCATGTTAGATTGCAGGGTCATGAAGTGGAATATTTACATGAGAAATAGGTTCCACAACATTTTTTCTGAATATGTTTTTAACTTGCAACAAAATTTCTGTGAAACGGTATACTTTCATCTTAACTGCAAGCAAAGAGTTGCCAAAACAGTGTGTGAGGTATGGCACTACAACAGCAAAATATGCTGCAAGGAAAAATGTTGGTGTTCGTATGCCTAATGATGCTATATGTCTAGCAATATTAGAAAAGATGGATGCACCTTTAATATCCACAAGGTTGGTTTCAAGTGTGTATTGATCATGCAAACATTAATGGACCTGCTCTTTTGTATTCCTGATGTTCAGTATGACTTCTTTTTTGGATAATTGCAGAATTTTATTACCCAAAGTAGAAAAATCTGCTACAGTTCAACATATACAAACATGGTTAAAAACATGTTCTTTATGGTTCTATACTTAATTTCTTGTTCCCTTTTGGCAGTGTCAAGTGGCCAAAAGAAAATGAGTGGATGATAGACCCAGTTGTGATAGCTGATATATATGGACCAGAGGTATGAATCTCCCTGGTTCAATTAATCTTTCAATGTTAAAATTTCACCTTCAGCTACGGCAGTAGCTTTTACTTTCCCGACAAATTACACTTGGAGAGCTGTAATCTTTCTCGGATCGCTTTTTAATGGGCTACCTAGAATATTTTACTTTTGGTTGTTAATATCAAGTTCACATGTCATATGTCATGCAAATATAATTTGAAGTGAAAATAAAATGGACTGAAATAAATTATATATTTTGTTTCATAGCACTTGTTGCTTAGGCCTTATCTGCTGCTACTCAACAGTTTACCCTCCGAATCTTTTGTTTATAAGCAGAACGGATACTCAGAGTTGTACTTCAAACTTCCATCAGTACTATTCTGAATAAGTTTTCCTCACATTTGAGCTCTATTTCCACTTCAGGGTCTTGATTTTGTCGTTGACAGTGGTGTAAGAGTTGCTGATCCTTCTACTGTTATCGACAGACTGGGCTTCTCCGAAAATTGTACGGCTCGGAAAGGTAATTATATATGTAATGCAATGCTTTATGATTACATGAGTGCTTCAAGGCAATATATAATGTGGTCATCTTCCTATAACCTAAGAAGTCCATCTTTTTCCAACTGTGGACTAGCTATTGCCTGAGCTTTGCATGGTATCTATAAACTTTAGTGTCATAACCGATTTTAGGTGGGAACAATTAAATATTGTTTTAAAAACAGCTACGACTTTTAATTTTGAAAAATGGGTGATTTTGAATTAAATTGGATAAAATTGGATAGAGTCACCATCAACTTTTAGGTTAGGTAGGTCGAATACCTAAAACGTCTTTTAAAAACAATTTTAAGAAAAATCGTTTTTAAGACAAAAATTGGTATGCGTTTACCAAAGATTCGATTAAAACGGGTTACGGAGTCGGTTACACGCGGGGAAGGATTAGCACCCCACAGCGCCCAAAATTAATATTGTTTCGTTTACATGTTGTCGTAATGGTGGAAATCCTGAATCAAATATCAAGTTCAAATATGATCTATTTATTAAATATTAATAATTTGCTTCAAATTAATTAAAAATGGTAAGAGCATAAGCTTAAAAGACTAAAACAGTTAAAATATAAATTTAAAGGACATAAATAGTAAAAACGGAAACTTAAGTGACTAAAATAAAATAACAGAAATTAAAGTGTCAAAATCAAGAAAATACATATATTCAGATGCTGGAATGAAAATATGCATAAAAGTTCAGGGACTAAACAAAAATTATTTTAAAAATACATAACATAAATTAGTTGCTGGCCACCGTCGTCGCAACATCGTGTCGTCGTCGACACCGTCACTGGTGACTAATGGTTACCAAATTTCACCGGGAAGTCCGTCTTGGCCTCTTCATCTTGGATCTAAAGTCGGTTTTGCATAAATCAGTTCCGTTCGTTGTAAAAAGACGAAAAACCGTTTGGATTAAGTTTCTCCGATCCGCCTCCGTCTACCGTCTGATCGTCTTGATTTTTCAGTAAGTTGTTCGTGTTGGCCTTGCGTAACTTTTCACCGTTCGGAACGTTGATCACAAATCCCGATCGCCGTAAAGAGGCCAAAAACTGTTCGGATTTATTTTCTTCGATCCACCACCTTTTACCGTCCGATCGTCCGTTTTCAGTATGTCTCTCTTTGTAGGCTGACAGTGTATAGAGGACCACGGTTCATTTCAATTGAAGGTCGAATCGGTACAGTTCCACAAAAGATATAAATGGAAATGTTCATCTTTAGTAACTGAGGTCATGAAATGGTATTGTATTTGTGTATAGGTTGTTGTTAACCATTTTGCTTTCCGGGCGGAATTGATTATTGGTGTGTAGTTTTACTTCACTGATGGAGGCCCCAAATTATAACCAAAAACTAGGCTGCGTTCCACTCCTTCTGAACATGTTAACTGTTTAGGAATATTTTATATAATTTTATTTTTGAAATTTATATGTTTTTATCAATTTAATCATTTCAAATAAATTTCAAAATAAACAATGAATAACAAAATAACAATAAAATTACTATCAAATTATTTGCATCTCCTAGTAATTGCTAACCTATCAACAATAGTAAAATAACCTTTCCAGTCCCTATAGTCTAGACATGTAAACGAACCAAACATTAAACGAATTGTTCGGCTGAAAGTTCGTTTATTTATTACACTAGCGAACATAAATAAGATTTTATGTTTATTTACGTTTGTGAAGGTTTGAAAATATGTTCGTTTACGTTCGTTCATTTATATTCGTTCATTTATATTCAGTCCAATCTTTAGACTCGTTTAAAATATTAAGACCTAATAAATTTTTACCCTTCAGCTCATTAATATTTTAAAACCCAATTAATTTTAAACCCATATAAAAAATACCCAAATCAATTAAAGAAAATATAAACCTTAAAATTATTCAGATAAAATTAAATGAATGGACATAAACATATCTTCTTTCGTGTTCATTCACTTATATGACTACTACAGTCGCAACTTTTATCAAATTTATTATCAAATTTTTCCGGCATATATAATAAATGATTTGTTAAATCAAATGGGCTAATGCCCAAGTAGTCCAATGGTTCTGGACTCAATGTTCATTCAGTTAACGATACGCCTTCACCCTCCTTTTCCAACCTCTCCTCCTCTTCCTTTTTCATTCATCCTCTTCGCAAATGGCGACTGCAACAATGATCTTCAGTTTGGTAGGTACATTTAGGGGTCTTTCTTTATCATCAAGCTCCAATTCGTCGTTTTTGAAAGGCGAAGTGAGAGGCTCCATTCCCAAAACGGAAACCGTTTCCTTCCCGAGCAAATTTCCGTTCCCTCTCTCCATCGAATCGGCGCACAAAAAGGGTGCCGGTAGTACTAAAAACGGTCGCGATTCCAAGGGTCAACGACTCGTCGTCAAAATCTACGGTGACCAGGTGGCCAAACCCGGCGCTGTTATCGTCAGGCAACGTGGAACCAAGATTCAATTTTTCTTTCGCTTATTTAATTGTGTTTTTCGGCTTCTTTTATAGGGATTTTTTTTAGCTTCCAATTGCTGGAAAAGGGGTTATCTTTTGATTTTTTTTAGAACTAAAACAAAACAAAACAAATTATACAGTAATTATTACTTCTGAGACTTTCATTTCAGGAGAAAACGAGTTTGAGCATGAAGATTCAAAGTCGAAAGCATTACAAATTAGGTTAAATTGTGGCTTTAATTTGACATAATTTGATTCTCCTACTATCATGTATGTTATCTTTTAATCTAAAATCACTAACACTGTAAAAAGAAATCAGTTGACAAAGATGGCTCTTTTGATGGTGTGGATGATTTGGGCTAAGGAATCAAGTTGAAAATAGTAAAGGGACAGAAACCATAATTTGATCTATAAATCACAACATTCATAGCTTGATTTTGTTGCTTGTTTCAGTTTCATCCAGGGAAAAACGAAAAACGTGGGGCTTGGAAAGGATCATACAATCTTTTCATATTCATTCATATCATAGCATAGCATTCCTCAAGCTTTATATGAATTCTACTTCGACCCGAACTTGTGCTCGCATCGGCCGATGATGCTACAAATGGTAATCCTGTTTGCTGATCGACTCCGTGAAACTATATCTATCTTGTACCTTGTCTTTGTATGGCAACCAGAACTTACAGATTGGTACCAGGAAAGTGTACAAACTTGATGTATCCAATTTGGCAATTTTAATGTCCAGTTTCATTTGATATCTCTCTGTTTCTGGCATCTGGTTTTAGTTTTCTCTCTTGAGATGATAATGTTTTAGTAACTACCAATTAGAGGTTTTCCTAATCAGGTCAACGGATCGGGTATACTGGATCGCGTAATTTTGAACACCCCTACTAATAACCCCGTTAGTATCATGTACATAGAATCACCTTATGGAATGAAACTGACACTTTGAACTTAAGAACTGCTCTTTAAATATTATCAACACATGCACTGAACTAGATTACAGAGCAGCAACTGGTTTTAGAATAGGTTTCCACGCCACCAGCTTTAAAATGGAACGAAGTATTCATGGAAGAACCCTCCTCGATCACTCGATCTCGTCCTCGACATCAAGTGTGAGATTTTCCATAAAAATGAGCAAAAACAGTCTTAGTACGGTATACAATTATCACGCTTAAACCAGCTGCAATGATGCAAAATCCTGACATTATCATGGAACTCAGAAAGAGGCATATAGAGCCTTCGCACTTCGGTGGTTCGTCTACGCCAAACATTCCTGATAAAATCGACCTCGGTATCCGTGGCTCCATATGATATTGATGAGCTTGTTTCTCGGCTTCTCGGTCATAGATACTGCTGGCAATTAGACTTGAGAAGATAAGTGTACCTGCCGGATTAGCCAGATTGAGGAAATTGTAGAGAGCCCCAAACTTTTTCAAGCCAAATAACTCAAGAGGCAGTAGCTGGAACAATCGCCCAGTGAGCAACATAGCAGAGCCTTATCAACAAAGTCGATATACATTGCTCCAGGCCATCCCATGGCAAAGAAGACATGGCCAACGGCCATAACGAGCTGCACCACAGCGTTGTCTGCAGGCCTTGGATAAGCATGATCCCTATACGGTAATGTCACACCAAAAACGAATCAAAACCAGCATTAAAATTTATGTCTGGTGCTATCAGCATCCAGGGACAAATCATTTCATTCTGTATACCTCACAATAATCTCCGAGACGAAACCTCCATCCGACCGAGAAAGTTCCAAATGCTAATCACAGATACAAATATATGAGTATTATCATACACCAGAGATTGGCTCATCTGACCAAGATTATCCATCACTGTCAACCCTGATCCTGAACCTAATAGAAGAGACAGCATGATAAGCCAAAATTCTGCTGTGATCAAAGCCTACATCAAGGTAAAGTCCTCCCCAACCCGAGGACCTCTCGTCCTCTTCGCACTTACCGCTATCTGTGAGCCTACTTCCTCGGGCATTTCATCTGCAACCTCACTGCATACTACTTCATGTTCTTGAGCAGTCCGATCGGAGTTCCCGGTTTCTCATTGCTCGGTCTTCGGTAGAAGAACCTCTTGGTCAGGATCACTAGGCTCTTCGCGAAAACTTAATACGATCGGAATGAAAATAAGAACAAACAAAATCACAGTAAAAACTGTGACTAAATTGTGGCTCAAGGTACCAACATCTTCCAGAATTATGATTCCCATCAAGCAAGCAGCCAAGAGGAGGAGGCACACACTATAAATAAGTGCAAAAATCAAACCATCAGAGGGATGTCCTTGTTTGTGACCTTCAACAGGTCTGATAATGAACATAAAAGTAATAATCACCATTGATGGTCCAAGTGCAAGCATGAGTATCAAAGATCCTTGATCTGGGAAATTAATGGCTGTGTATATTGAGTCAAAACTGCACCACTCAAAGCAGAAAATCCCTTTAGAATTCCCACCACTGGACCCCTGCTCTTGGGGAAGTTTTGCACACAAGAAACAAGAACAGCTGTGTTGAAGTAGGTCTGGGCATTGGCTCCCACAAATAATAAGGCGCACATCTGCATACTGAGACTGGTTAAACCAAAAGAAAAGAAAGAAAGGAAGAATCTTGCAGATCAATGGTAAAAGAAGGAACTTTAAGATGGTACTCACAGCCCACAGAGGCAAAACTGGAGCTTTCCCAGAAACAATCAACCAAATCCCACCATAACCAAGAAGATTGTGCAAAGCACCGGCAAAATCTCAGACAAGCTCCCTGCTACAAACCCAACACAGCCTCCAAGATCTTTAGCTACATCCAACTTGGAAAGCTGCCTTTGATTATAATTCAAAGAAGTTTTGATCACAGGCGATATGCTACCAAAAAGATAGTCAGTTCCAGAACAGGATTGTATCCACATCGCAACAACAAAAACCATCTATTGTTCATAAAAGCCTGGAATCTTTCTTTCAGTCCACCCATTTTGCAGCTCTGTGAAGACCACAGACGATGAAAACAGTGTTGTTGCTGGTCAGCTTTAGGATGGTGGGGATATAGAAAAGAATATTATATTGAAATCTAATGTATTTGTCGTCCAGCGAAGAGAATGTATGGTTCCTACTATTTGGCAAAGTTTGCTGACAACCATTGACGAACCAGGTTTATACATTTGTGGAGGGGATATGAATACTTTACATATTCACCCAAATATTTTTTTATTACTCTTATTATTAAAAATTATAAAATGATTTTATAATTATAAAATATCATTTTGTTGGGTCTTTAGTTATTAAAAAGTTAAAAAATAATCATATGACTATTTATATGTTTTAAACTCATCATTTTCCATCAAAAATCGGTGATTATCTAAGTTGAACATTAACCTGTTAATTGAGATATAATAAAATTTGATCTCGAAATTGTTTGAGTTATATGTTTTGGACCGATTTTCCGTTTAAATTATATCGTCGAGGTTAAAAAATTATGTCGTCGAGCTATTGTTTGAAAGCAACAATGTTGTCAATAAACATCATTAAAATATGATTTTATCATATCTTAATCAACAAATTATCGTTCAAATCATATGACCATTAATTTTTTAATAAAAAAAAATGAATTTAGAAAATATAAATACTACCATTTTATAACTTTTAATAGCTAGAGACACAACAAAACAACACTCCATAATTAGAGATCGCTTTGTAAATTTTAATAGCAAGAGATTAAACAAAACAATGTCTATTGTCGGAGGTCATTTATTATATTACCTTAATTTATTTAATTTTAAAACTAATAATAAAATAAGAGGTATTTAAATAAAAAGTTAGAGCCGACGTTTTATATAATATCAAATTTTTTTAAAGTCTGATTATTTAGTTACACGTTTGATTAATTATTTATTGTCATGTAAGTAAATTTTTATTTAATTAATATTATATAATAAAATGATTTTTATTAATATTATTCAATAAGATTACAACATGTATCATTATCTTATTATTTAAAAAATAAAGAAAATACAGATTATAACTAATAAATCTCAAATTAAGATCTCTAGAAAAGTAAGTCCACCGATTAACTAATACATTAAACTATTTTTAATAAAAATAATATTTAAATCAAATTATTATTAAAATTAATTACATATATTTATAAAACTATTTAAATTACAATTAACATTATAAAATATTATAAGAATATATTTATTACATTAATTCAAATTTATTTTTATGATATCTTATAATTTAAGTTATATATATATATATATATATATATATATATATATATATATATATATATATATATATAATTTTTCAAGAGACCATAAAGTATAAATAAAGTAGATGGTTTCATCTTATTAAATGTTATTAATTAAATAAAATATATTTATTCATGTAACATTAATTAAATAAAAATATTTGCTTATGTTATGTTGTGTTACAAAAGTATTTAAATATATATATATATATATATATATATATATATATATATGTATCACGATAATAATAATTATTGATAATTAATAATTTTTATTCAAAAAATAATTATTTAAAAAATTAAAATGTTATAAATTAAAATAAATTAAAAAATTCAAATTCAAATGACTTCGATCGAGATGTATTTTAATATTATACTTTTAATTTATCTAGGTTTAAAATGATAGAACCAACAATCAGTTGGTTTAGTGGGATGAAACACTAAATTCCTTAAACAATGTTAGGGAATCCCTAACTATTGCAAATGGAGCAAATTGGGTTGGATGAGTCACCCTTACCTATGCAGTTACCGATTTGAATTAATTGATCAATAGATTAGATACAAGTGATTAATTAAAGAAAAATGACATAGGCTTAACAATTTAATTGAAAAAAAAAATATGATAGGGAAAGACCCCTCCCACCTGCCTTGTTGTTAGGTACCTATTGAGAAAAATATCACATGAAAATCCCTAGTCCCTAATTTTGACCCTTATACAATTAACCCATTAATCTATATTATTATTAAACTTTTTGAAAAAGTTAAATTTAATAATTAAGGTATAATGATAAAATTAGTATCTAATATTTGTATAAATGATTACTTTGTCTCTTTTTTTTAAAAATATTTTAACCCACTATATTTTAATTTTTGATTAAAATAGTCACTGTTGGATAGAAACCGTTAGTTAACTAACGATCAATACGTATTGTTGACATGATATTTTCACATATATTTAATTGATGATTTGACATATATCACGTCATTTAAAATTATGATGTGACATGTACCATTTCGCCAAAAATGATAGCACTTACCACGTAATCAACATGTAAAAATTTTAAGTCAACAATATATGTTGATTGTTAGTTTACTAACAATTTTCATTTAATATGATCTATTTTGATTTATAATTAAAACTTTGGAGACTAAAATATTAAAAATAATAGAGAATAAAGTGACCAGTATTTATACAATGATTGAAGACTAATTTTATTATTATGATAGTAATTAATTGAGTGATAATTTAAAATTTTATTGAATCATATTAAATCAAATTTAAATTAATCGAAAAACTCACTTTTTACCAATCATCATAGTACTCTACAAGCTTATTATAGTATAAATATTTTTCTATTCACCTTGTCGACTCCATTTTTTGCTCGGGTGGGGAAAAACTAGTACAACTTAAGGGTTTTTTTCTTTAAAAAGATTTTGAAATTTATGAGTCTCCACCAATCATTTTAAGGTGCGATCCGGACATTATAAAAATCGGGTGATTTTAATA